TGTTTTGAAAATACAGTTCCTGTTCTATCACTATATGTCATGTTCCTGTTTTATCACTATATTTCATGCTTGAACATATTTCTATTGATAAATATAAGACTTACTGTGACACGATGACTTCAAAAGTTACTGACAGTGATCTGAGAATAACACCAGATTGTTTCTTAAATAAAGCTATCTCCACTTTGAGATCAAAATTTATTCGTCAAACTAATGAATGAAGATGCATTCCATTTGTACCACATCTTGGATATTACTGCATTCGAACTAAAAGCAATGCATATAAGAGACCATTTGCTTACTTTAGGTTGCAAATCCTTCTTGTTACTCTTGATGTTTTTGACTGCAATCTGGTTCGAACAAATATCCTATCCCTTCTTTTTTTAATTGGCAAGCCCATTGTTAGAATTTAGATTTACACATATGCATCTCTTATTTTTTAAATGTTTAAACATTGATGGTAAAGAAATACGACAGGGTAATTTGGTTGTGATGACATGGTTGGGCACATGCCCAAACAGAAGTACAATAAGGTGAATGAGGTGGGCTAGCTTCAGCAGTATTCGGCATACAGCTATTTGAAATGGATGAAGATGTTTATATAGTTAAAACGAACTAGAATAAACATGGAATTTGAGGCAACAGTGAGAAAGAAAGGAAGTTATTACGGTTGCTGTTTGGAAGGGAGCTTCATGATTCCGAGCACACTGATTCTGGATGGAGAGTTTCACTGCTGTTAATAAGATAGGTGCAATGTTTGAGCTTGAAGATGGGACAAATACAAGTAGAACATTGATGAAAATGCTTACATCTCTTACAATCTGATTTTAGAATAAGTAAGACTGAAAGATACTCTGACACAGTATTCTGAGAATCTGTCTGGAAGATAACTGATCTTCAAGAAAGCTAGACGAGCAATATCAAGATGTGGTTTATTCAGTTCTTGGTGGAAAGAAAATCTGATGGCATAATAGTTAATATATAGCAAAGATTTTATAGGTCTGAAACCATATTCTCTATTTGGCATCAGGGTTTGTTCAAAGCATATTTGTGCTCGAGTTGATAGATCTTTGACCATACTGAAGTAGGAACTGACTAGTAGTTCTGTTTTTATTTATGGACTATCATACTCATTTAATTAGTTCCGATATGTTGCCACCATGTTTATCAAACACAACATAGAATGCTCTTTGCTGATTCATAATTCTGCTCTATACAATAGTGTTGTCTCACATGGATGTGGTCTCCTGTCTAGCATAGTTGTGATATCTTGAAAGCAACACACTTGAAAATAACTACTCTTACCAGTAGCCTAACCATTCTTCTATACAATATTTAAATGCTGCTTTGCTGACTCAAATTTTGCTCTCTCATGTCTTGATTTCAACATTTGTGGAAATATTAATCTCTGACATGAAGAAAGTATCATGTCTAGTGCAGTTGTGATATCGAAAGAGCAACACACGATAGAAGATGAATCTTCTTGCAAAAGAACTCGTGTCAGCCCGTGTTTGTTTAAGGCAAGCAATGATTTTCTGCGCCAAATCCATTAGCTGGATTCATCTTTCATTAAATATTTATTGTTCAGTTAAAGTGAATGTTTATTGGAACTTAATGCAGCCTCCTGATAATCATTCTCCAAGACGCGAGTGCTGAAATTCTGCATCAAGGATAAACGTATATCCTAATTCAGATGACAAGATTGTATTTGAAACTACCTCTGCCTATGAGTAGTTATTAGGTTTTATATTTAGGTGTACCTTTTCTCATCATTCCATGAGCGCAGCGTTTCACAAATTAGCCCTGCTTCAAATCTAAATGTTTAAGACTAATCAAATTTGTATTCCTGACATGCAGGTTAATAATACTTTGTTGGTGAAATACTTGCGACTCTGAGAACTCAATAACTTGACTAGAAGCTCTGAAAGGTCTCTGCTCTCTAAAGTAACAATATTTTCTTTCGCCATCTTTTCCTGAGAGAAGTGAGCAAGCGACTAATCATTCTCGCATTGACTTGATTTCCAGCAGCTCCAACTTAACACTGATCTGGGTGGGTTAACTTTCAGAGGCCACTTTCAAGGTAGTTCAAGATCCCATACTGAAAACAACATATGATGGCCTACTTTTTTGTTCTCAAGTAAAATGTAATTACGTAGATTGAAACCACAGGAAACTTTAGGATGTGTGAGTTTGACATCTACTGAGAGTAAATTGTATGATATGTGAATTTGGAACCACTGGATGCATCACTATCATATCCATATCGTTTGATGTATGTGACGTATCACTGAATGCATCTTTATGTCCAGTTTAAGCTTTTAAATGAATGTAAGGGAGAGTTCTATACAACTGACGCTATGCGTGTGTCCAGAACTTGATCCTGCTATGTATAACTGTCATCTCCAGAGAAATCAGAAGGCTAGCTGAAAGTAAAATAATAAACTTTTTGGAGGAATCCAGGATTCGGCGATTGAGTTTTGATAGATCATGGGGTAATTTAAGGTGCTTTAGTGTTACGAGGTTTGTAATAAAGAGTTGAACAAGGCTAGGTTTTCCAGTGGTTATGGAGGAATGTAATGACTGACATGCAGTTTTCCCGGAAACGATTTAGGTACAACTTTTTTGCCAATATTGCTTCCCCTCACTTTTTTCTTTTAAGCGTGTCATTTATTTTTGATTAACTTTGATGCTAGATATCACTTACACGCTTCAGTCCAGATCGTTTCTATATGAACTGAACGAATCTTTCAATTCTTAAGAGTAAAAAATAAAAACGAAATCAATGTGACACATGAGATATAACTGAATTAGAAACCAAGAGTAAAAAATAAAAACGAAATCAAAGTGACACATGAGATATAACTGAATTAGAAACCAATACGGTAACGAATTGAAGTAGCAGTCCAATTTCTAAAGGAAGACAAGGAGAATTGTAATTCAAACTGGGAATTGATATTACATACATGCAATCCTCCTATCAGTCGAATATTACAAGAGCTAATAAAAGATTGCAGGATATCACATACTGCCTTTTATCAGTCCTCATTCTTCATGCCCTCTTCAATCATAAATATACAAGTTGCGACATGCAAATTTGCAATGTTTGTCAAAGGATGTTAAGGTTTTGGTATGGTATTATCGGATTTTCCACAAATACTGCATGAAATAAGGTTCTTATAGAAATACATTAAGCAAAAGAGACCAAGATATCAT